AAATCGTAGAAAAAATATCAGAAAAGTACAAGCCACTGACCCATACTAAAAGGCATTGAATTTAGTTATCAACAATTTCAATTCTACAACTAAATTTTCACCTACAAAGTCTGGCCTTTAGTTCTCACCAAGCAAGCGAAATTTCCTTTTGCTCTTTTAAAGCTCCGAAAAATTCTTAAGAGAACTTAATCAAATAACGCCTGAGATGGCAAAATTCCTCTGCAAGTTTCCACAAAAAATCCAAACGCCAGCCAACACTTCGCAGCAGTAAACTCAAAACCTAAAATGAAAACAGCAATCAAAGTCAACGGTAAAGGTGTGGCATTAAATGTTGCAGAATGGCAGCAGCAACGGCTACAGCAAAACCAGCAATGAGCAGTAAAGCAAATGTGTGAAACACCCACACACTCACATGCATACATACATACATAAAGACATACAAAGAAATGAACAAGCATGCAGTGTTATGAATTGTTAAGGATTTATCATATTTACAGTACAAAAATGTATATTATATATGTATATATGCGACTTTGTATGTATGTATGTATGTATGCATGTATGAGAGCTTGCATGTCGCAATTGCTATTCATGTGAGCATGTTGCACGCGACCACTACAACGGCGCGCCTCGAGTGAGTGAGTGAAAGAGACTCTTAATCTTTGCAACTTTTTAATTACTTTTTCAAGAAGTTTTGTAACGTTTAAAATTGTTTGTTGAAAAGTTTGGTGTGGCAGTCAGAAACAGAATACAAAATAAATACAAAATAGAAATGAATATAGAAAAAGTCACAAAAAAAAATAAACACCAAACATACAGCCGAAGAGAAGAGAAAGCAACACAATAATTGACAGTGAAAATAGCAAGCAGATTACAACAAAAAAAATCAAAATTGGATATACCAAAAAAAGTCTCAAAAAGCACACAGACACCCAGCCAGTCAGCCAGCCATCAAGACCAACAGCCTCCACACCCTGCTCTGGCATATTGAAATGTTTGGCATTTTCGGCTGGTTTTAATCCGCTTGACTCGACCACCCAAGCAACCAGCCTTTAGGCGGTAGGGGGCGCTGTCTGCGGGAGCAATGTAGTAGACCGTTGTTTGTGGTTGCATGCAGTCGGTCTGGAGGGATTTCGTTCTAAAGGGATTTGTGTTGTGGTGCAACAAGGTTACCGTGAATGGCGTTAAAAACGTCAACTGCGGTGAGTTGGATAACAGCAAATGAATATGGAGTCAGGGAGAATTCGATATTGTTGTACGCGGTCAACTCCGGCATGTATACGGAGAGATATACTTTTGTACAAAATATTTCATGGAGCTGTTTTTATTATGCGTTAATCAGAACTAGCAAGATCGGACAACAGTATTATATTTTCATGTCATACATCCGACCATTCCGATGAGACGTTTGAGTAAAATAAATTTGGTACTCTGCTTACTCATCACAGACAAAATATTCACAGTTAGTGGGTTGTTAAATTCACTCGATCACGAAACCTATTGGAGCCCGTCAGATACCTAAGGCGGCACTTTCTAGCTGCTCAAACTATTTGGTGTATTTCATGAAATCCGCGGTAATGTTGTCTGGCCACACTGAAGACTGGTCACAGGTAGCCTTCTTCTCTCTTGCACCTGTGCTGCAATGAAAGTCATTAGAGAATGAGCTCTTTCTCCTAACATTAAACATTGGATCTGCTCTACAGTTGAGGGTCGATCCTAAGAGAGATTCTGATGTACTCACATCGTGTGCAGAACTTTCAAGGGTTAGGGTTCTCTTCTTAAAACTCGTCAGAACCCAATACACGGTCGCTTCAAATTCATTTGCGCGTTTTTTAAAACTTCTTGTTGACACCTGCAAGATGGTGTAGTTGGATTGAAAAGAGATTCTATTTAGCACCCTGGCTGTCACAACTTGTTTTGCGAAAGGTGGATTTACCATTTCAGATTTAAGTAACCACAATACAGCTCTTAATATTGTAGTTCGTTCTGACGAATCTGTTATGAGTGAGCTCTACATTCCAGCCTGGCATCGGACTTTGGCCGTCGTTGAAGATGAGGATGGATCTTTGATCCAATAATATCACATTTTAACATTTAGCACTCTCAGAGATTTTTAATGAAGTTCTCCATGCAGGTTAGACGAGAGAAATTCAAGAATTTCGTGGCACTTAAAGTCACCGTTACTATTTTGGGGATAGAGCCCGTGCACTAAAATTTTACCCTCCTTACTGCTAAGAGGAACTTTGTTTAATATCGGTCACCAAAGAGCTCTTGTTGCTACATGGTACGGCCGGTATGTGGTATTATGTCTCAGTTCCTCTCTTTTACTAATCGCCATCTTGCAAGTATACAATGTGGTTATGAAAGGAGGGAGCCTTCTCTGTAATGTACGTTTGGTTCAAATATTAATTTGACCTCAATAAAAAGAGTAATATCGATGCTTTTAAGTAACTTAAGTTAAGTTAAATAAGAGTTGCTTAAAAACACGTGACTTGCACCTTATAAAGAAGACTATCGATTCTGGGATATATGTTCGGAACGCAACCAATTTACCAGGTTTATACTATACATGTTAAAGTACATTTTGAAAATATGAGCCTAGAGCTTGCAAAACACCCTCTCCAATCGCTGTGGGGATGACATCATTAGCAAACCATATTTCGGAGGTGCTAACAAATGGAAAAGGAAAGCAGGGCAGAGAAAACTGCACTATGTGGTGTGAGGTTTTTGTCATAACTCGTCAAAGACGCGCCTTCTGACTATCTTGGATAAGACATTATTGAATGCCTCTCTAATCGAGGAAGCCTCCATTGTACCCTTTGAAGGGGAGAGCTTTGACAATCCGCACCCTACATGTTTTTGGAATGAAGGAAATTCGCCCTCAGGCTAGGCAAGAGGAGTGTGATTCAGGAATGAATGGGCTGAGTAGATACATGTACATAATAAGAGGTACAGGATGGCTGTTTAAATCTCCAGTTTGGCGGGAAAGTTTTCATCCATTCCTGGAGATTTGAAGAAATTTTGTATCAGTGAGAAAACTGGAAATTTTCCAAGCCTCCTGGAAAAAGCGCGCTTGCTTTTTGTCTTCTTGCTGAAGCTCACAGTACGTGACTGAGCTTCAAGAGAGAACTTTTGGAAGCTTTTTGTGAGTACTATGTTCCGCAATTAAGGTTGTCCATTTCCATTTGGAACAGTAAAAGGACATGAGGGCTCGAAACAATTTTTTATGGCCTTTATGGCCAAATTTTGACGAATAGTTCTGCTCACTGACGGAACCAGACTTTGTGTCAGAGCTTATCACTTTACCGGTTATTAGCGATGTACCAAGCTTAATGAAAGAAGCGTTTCAAAAAAAGTGACAATGTAAATAATTGAAGTAGGTCTACTCTATCACATAGCTCCTAACTAACTGATTATTCATATCCTTAAAGCTCTTCCTATTGAAGAAAATCTTATAGATTTCAGCACAGTCGACGTTTTCTTTGGTATTTTTACTTTTAGTACTAACAAATTGTAAACATTTATAAGTTAAATTGAAGAAAAGGTCGGTCCGTGACCTTCAATTTCATTACATGTAATTTTCTAGTCATATATGTACGTGTATGTATGTTTAGCAGACCTTTTTTGACAAAAAAAAAAATAAAGAAAAAAAATTTTATTGCCTATTTTTTCATTTTCCTTACCAGATGTGTGCCCAATGTTATTTCATTTTTTCACAAACAGACTTTTAATCTAATTTTTTATTCATTCTTCAACATTTTCCCTCTCTTTGCAGAACTTGTCGCGCAAATAAAGTTGAAAGGGTGAAAGAGAGTGACAAGAAAAATAGGAATGTAAACCGAAAAGAAGAAGAAAAAACACGTTATTAAAGGTCATGTCAAGTACAGATGTGACAGCTTAACCAAAAAATATAACGGTATCTGAGGATATGTAAATGTTTGCCGGCAGACGAAAATCAACTGTGACAAAAACTAAGAGCCGCTAAGAAAGTGTGGAAAAATCAGTGCTAAAGTACTAAAAGCATATGTATATGTATTGCGGAAAATTAGATAAAAAATAAAAAAAAACTACCGTTAAAACTTGAAAGATACAACGGTCGTGTAGCACATACATACAGAGGCTCCCGTTGCTGGTGGTTCATACTTATCTGCCGACCGCAGAGAAATGGCAGCTGACTGCTGTTGCTTTGCTGATGCTGTGACTACAACCAACAACGACAAACAAACAAGTACAACAAAAACAGCAAACAGCAATAGCAACAACAGCAAAAATCAATCAAACACAAATGTTGAGTCCACCACATTATCCTCTTGCCCACTAATGCCCCAGCAATGCAACACTTGTCAACGACAACAACACAGCTGTGACTCGAACGGCAAGTAAAACAACCATAGCAACAACAACGAATAGTTGTCGACAAGGAAATAGCAAACCAGAACGACATTGAGCCGCATCAAACCATACAGTCCGACGCAGTTCACACCGCAACAGACACTGCCACAGGCATTGCATACTTGGAGGCGCAGCAGGCGGCAAGGTGTGGTAGGGAGTAGTAAATGGTAGAGTCATACGACTGCAATCACAACTCCATACGTTTGTTCCGTTGAAAGTGTACACACCAACGACCAACAACCAATTCAGCCACAAAATAACAGCAACATTGGAAGCAAAAACAAAAAAAATAAGAGTGTGAAAGAAACAAATCACAATCCTTGGGCAATACGAGCAGACGCATTGAAATTACGTTTGACTGACCGGCCGACCGACAAGTGAATGGGCTGGTGTTGTTGTTGTTTTATTATTCACGCCACCAGTCAGTGAACTCAGTTGTCGCTGATCCTTTTCATATCCTTTTACTTTGCATTGTTGTTACAACAAACAAGCACAGCAACAGCGACTTTAACGCCTACTACACCAACGAGCAAGTGGACAACGACAGAACAAGCTTTCAACGAGCATACAAGTGGATGAGGGTCTGAAAAAAATTCACAAAAAAAATACAAAAAAAAAGAATTCACAAAAAAAATTCACGAAAAAAAATCGCCAAAAACAACGCAAACAAAATTGCAGCAAAGGCGCACAACAACAAAAAACTTCGAGCAAGCCGCTACCAATTTGAACTCATTTTTGTTGCCTTTTCTACATCTCTTCAATTTTTATTGGCTCACTTGCTGTCGTCGTCGCTTTTAAATTGACTTTCATAACAACGCTTCACTGAGCATACGTTGGCCGCCCGTCTGCTGTAATCGAGTACGCTACACATAGAAATCTGAAAGCCGCATTTGTCTCACACTACACAGCATTTGGCAACAGCATCCGCAGAGGAGATGGCATCGAAATTCTCGTTGTCTGTTTGGTGTGTGCTGGCCGGTTGGTTTCCGTTGCTGGCCAACGGTTACCTGAATGTCTTCATTAGCCATCGTGAAGTCATCAAATTAATGGGTGAGTAGAGAATGAATTTTAAATTTAATTTTCAGTGAAAAATATGAAAATAAAAGCAACAATTTTACATACAGACCTATGTATAAATGTAATCACTCTGTTAATATAAGAAGGTTTATACGAAAATTTTATTTACGAAAAAATAATTTTAACGACCATTATTATTTGCAATTCTTTGAGTTTTTTTCGGGCATCGTCATAACTCCATCAGTGTAGGGCATCTGCGGTTCATCGGCGAAGAACTGGGTTATATGAGTTTCTTGGGCCAATTTTTTTTACTCTCAAGAGAGACTGGAACAAATGACCGTCAGATACTCCTATACCTTTTTAATTTAAAAAAAAATTATATGTTTTTGCTGTTAATAACATTATAAAATTTTTTTCTCTTCTTTAAGCGTTAGTTCTTCATTGTATTTATTTTTGCTAAATTTCAATTACTCTTATTTCTTTACATTCTTGACATTTTATTTCGTTTGTGTACCTTATGAACTAGTTTATTTTGAAAATGATTTCTTTAAGTTTTTTAAAACCCATTTTTATGTTTTTTCTTAATTTTTTTAATCCTTTGGAAATTAAACAAAAATTTATACTCGAATCACGAATTTTAATAAAAAAATTTGTTTATTATTGAATCGTGGCCAACTATTTTTTTTTACTTTTATTTTCATCTTTAATTTAATACTAATTCGTATTTGTATTTTTTAGTATTTAATATTATAAATTTATATTGTTTTCTTTTGATTTTTTTTTCAGTTTATATATTGCAGTTATATAATATAATATATTTTTGTATTATCATAAAATTTTATGAAATATTTAAATTTTATTGAAGGATTTTGACAATTGCGTTTTGCAATCTAAACCCAGAAAACAAACAGAGAGTTAGAAAAAAATCATTCATTATGCGCAGCCAATCTGGATTTTGTCACTCATACGCCCAGGATGCCCACGTCAGTCTAATACAGTCGAATGTATATAAAATAAATACATATTTTTAAAAATTTGTTATTTGATTGGACTATAAAATTTTACTAACGGTATACCGCCAATATTTATTTAAAGCTTTTATAGAAAATTTTCACTTAGCTTAGTGATGTGGCGTATCAAGGCGTGTCATGGCGTATACGTAATATTTGGTATTTTGATACTTTAATTTAACACCGCAGCCATAGTTTTGTTCCAAACACATACGGATTATGGTATTATTGGCTTATGCGTTCAAATAATAAAATTAAATAAATTAAACGAAATATTTTGCTTTCGATTGAATGGAAATCAGTTGAGTTGAGAGTGAGTGTGCTGCTATACAATTCTAAATCGAATTCACATCGATGCATTCAATAGCTTTTTCATAAAACAAAATTTATTTTGGTATGATTTCTTTCTAAATTTCAAAGTATGGACAGAAGTGAGAATCAAACTGCTAAAGAGCTTAAAAAAAAGCCATTTTTATATTCTCACGCTCGAAGTGTGATAATATGAAATCAAAATTGAGAGAAGAACATTTTTTTCGCTAGCTATTTTTCACAATCGTTCTTGGAATAATAATATTTTTTAATGCAAGTAAAAGCTCGTACTTATAAAAGTGATAAAAAATATTGGTCTTTTTAAAAAAGCCAAGTAAAAATTTCCTAAATAAAAATTGGCAACGTTGGAAAATCTTTAGGGCAGAGAAAATCACGGTGTTCTGAATTTAGTTTTATATGCTAAGAAAGCTGGCTACTACCAGAGATACTTAGTCAGAATAGCAATACAAAATAGGTACAAGCGCGTTGATAAAAAAAAAATAATACAAAAAACTTTCATGAATAAAAATAGTATTTTTACTTTCCTTATATAATTTTTTATGCTTAAAATAAGACTCAGTAAGGCAAACACTACCATCAAAAGCGAAGCACAGCATCATTTATAATATGTTGTACAATATTTTATCGATTTGACGGCAAAAATCAATTCTTACTTGTCTTTACTCTAGTTACTTACCACACCACTGACACACTTTCCGTCAAGCAGGACGAGAATAAATGAGTGTTTACCACAAGTGATTGACTGATTAATAGCACCAGCCAAGGATCACTTTAATATATTTTTTCTTTTACGTACACGTACGTAAACACACAAGGTACATACAGGTGATATTCAAAAAGTACCAGCAGTAATGAACTAGTTACAAACTAGTTCTAGACTGGTGTAAGTTAACTATTCAACTTCTTCCTAAAACAAAACTATATCTTTTCTGTGTCAGTTTTAGTGGCTTCAAGGTAAAGATGTTTGATGACAATTATCAGATTTCTGGTCAGAAATATACCAGTCGCCTACTAGTTCCAAATGTAGATATATTATAAATACATATTTTAAATCAAAAATATATTTTTTTTTATTCGACTAGGATAAAGTAAAATAAAAGTAGTTAATTCTTGGATGACAAATAAAAAAAATGCAACAAATTTTAAACAATTATTGAAAATAATTAAAACTAATTTTAAAATTTAAAAAAAAAATTAATTGAAATTTTAAATGGCAACAACAAAACAAGCAGTTATGCAATTTTCAGACTGGCACAGTTCCAATTACAAAAACCGTAGTAGCAAACTAGACCATTTTCGGACCAGTTGAATATTCCACGGTCGTAGTGAACCTACAAACAGCACACATTCCTTCATATCGTATTTACTTAGTATAAAATCCAAACAGTGTATATTGAATAGCATCGAAAACACTTGAAATTAAACAAATACACGCTCGTAACAGAATATTGCAATATAAAAGCAAAAGCAAGTACACAGCGGGAAAAGTAATGGAAAAGCATTAAGCGTAGTGCTAAACTGAAAAAAGGAAAACAAAGTGAAACAAAGCGAAAGCTTAAGCGTTGTGGCTGAAAATCAGCATTGTTCAGTGCAAGTTCTATGTATATACAATACATTTGTATATATATATATATATGTATATATCCGCTTATTCGCTATGAGTAGAGGTTGTGGTAAAAGCTAGTAAATTGTTGAAAATAACAAATTATCAGATGCTTGGGGCATGTTTAAGTGCGTACCAAGCGCTAAATGGTCGCAAAAAGCCACGCAGACATACAATTATACGCTCAACTATTCATTTGTTTGAATACTCGTACAAATGTATTTAGCTTAAGCTGTGCATTGTATGCTTTCGAGTGGTTTTCGTAAAAATATTTTTATTTATAGTTATTCATAAAAGGCTATGCTCGAGTGTATGACAAATAGACCGTTAGCGACGCTTAACTTTTGCTGACATTTATCATACGCGACTATTTGCTATTTTACTTTCTAAATATGTACATATATAAATTTGTACTGACTTGTTTTATGCCCACTTCGATGGCGACTTTTCAAAGATTTTATACACTCGCCTTCCGAAAATGCTGCTCTTCAACTTAATAAGACAAAAGGAAATCGATTTTCGACTGTCGAATTGGCTTTGTGGATGCCGAATACTTTTATTTTTCATTTCCCACACAGTTGTATTAAAAACAACAAAAACAAAAACTTTTAGTAGAAAGTAAGAAAAACTTCTTTTTAGCTTCAACTGGATTTTGTATATAAAAATCAAAAAAAAAAAAATGGAGAAAAAATTATAGTTAGTGGCCGAACGATGGTAATGGTAAGGAAGAACTAAATACGGTTTTCGTGGAAAATTAATTTTTGTTATTTAAATATGAAAATAATTCAGAAAAAATACTTGAAAAATGTTTTTGGGTTTTAGTTTTATGGAACTGTCTCAGACCATAAATTTTGGGGAATATATGGAAAAACCACAACAACAGTTTTGGAAATGATTTTGATGTATATATTCAAAAGAGCCTCTCAAGGGCGAGATTTTACTTATGGAAATGTAAATTATAATCATTGAACGAGCCTACGTATACTCGTTGCCCGAGTTCTGAAGCTGCCGCGAAATATGCGAACTTTGCTACCAATCAAAGTCCTTCCTAGACAGAAGAGTCTTATTCCCCGGCTGAACGTCAACAGGCACTTGCCGTTACCTCCAAGTGTCACCGTTTTTGATAAACTTTTTAACTGAGCTACTCGTCCGTGTGAGTCCTGTTTCCAATTTCTATCATTTTCTCAAGAACTTTACTACATTGTGTTCTCGCTTTCATCCTGTTTATCTTCTAGTTATATGACCATACTTAGTAGGCTTGAGCTTGGTATATTTTTATATTGGGAACAACTTGTATCGACGTCACCTGTGTTGGTATCTTACTGGTTTCAATATAAGACTGTCTCCTACAAACATAATATGATTATATGAATATAGTTCATTAAACAAAAGTCCTCATGAGAGGATCTTACTTTGCACCAGATACGAAACAACAATAGTGGGTTTTCATGTCAAGTGCTAACTGCTCCACCCACCATAAAATGCCGAGTAAGCGAAATAAATTGAGAGAAAGGTTATACCCTTGTAAGAAATACCCGGCGCGAAACGTGACACAACATGGTCAAGTCTCCAATCCACATGGTAGTACTGCTTGCTGCTCTGTTTTCACTTGCCATTTTGGGAGAAATATTAATGACACATTTCGGCGCTTCGACAGACGCAATGGATCATTTACCAAAACGCTATTACCATCACCATATTCCTGGTGAATAAACGCTACCTCAAAACGCTGGCCACGGCCTTGTCAATAAGTTGGGTTAACTTGTCAAAGCTGAGCGTTTAGCGTGTACGAGGAACCGTGAAGCGTGCCATAAATGTTAATATTGCCAAATATATATATATTCATATATATATATATATATGTTGCTCAAACTGCAAACTGGCAATCAAAAATTAGAGACACATATATACATATATACACATTTGCTCACATATAATGCGTTTGCCCATCGCCAGCTAGACAAATTGATTAATGATACTCAGTCTCCAGCCACTTTGCTGTCAGCCGTACAACTTGCCTAAACCAAAATGTGGTTTGTTATTATTATTACTAATGCATAATACGATGATATTGTTGTAGTTGTTTCTCC